CCCCCCCTCTCTCTCTCTCTCTTTTCAATTGTGCACGAATTAATGCGGTTTCCATCTTACTTTGTCGTTCTATACATGCGTGCGCGTGCGCGAGTGCAAAAATGCAGTGAGGAATAGGAAGCCTTATGGGTCGTGCCGTCTAATACTACCCAATTTGCAATTGGGAAGAAGCGAAGGAGAAGGGGGGAAACGAGGAGGAGAAGGAAAAGGAGCCAAAGGACGAAGTGGGACGGGACGAGGATGAGGAGGAGCAGGTTGAGGAGGAGGAGCGAGGAGAGAGGAGAGGAGGAGGAGAGGAGAGGGAGGAGGAGGAAGAGGAAGAGATGGAGGAGGAGGAGAGAGAGAGGAGAAGGTGGAGGAGCAGGAGGAGGAGGAGAAAGACTCCTCGGAGGAGATGGCGGAGTAGTAGGACGAAGCGCGAGGGGAACAGGAGGGGGAGGAGAAGGAGGAGCAAGAGGAACGGGAGGAGGGGAACGAGTGGAGGAGAAAGAAAAGAGGGAGAAGGGAGAAGAGAAGATAGCGACGTTGATGGCGGACGAAGGAGAAGAGAAGAGAGGCCCGTTCACACTTGGAGCATATTTATAAAATGACTTTTATGGATGTTTTTTACTGCAATCGCGAGCGATACTGCATGTATCTGACTGAGCAATTACATCGAAGGACTAGTCTGAGAATGCATCGTGCAAGGAAGAGGAGGAGAAGGAAGAGAGAGGAGAAGGTGGAGAAGCAAGAGGAGTGGGAGGGGAGGAGAAGGAGGAAGAGGAGGAGGAAGAGAAGGTGGAGGAGTAGGAGGACAAAGTGGGAGCTCCTGCAAATTGCGCAGGGTATCAATGCACATAGCGAAAGTGAAAAGCACGCCTACCTACCGATCATGGAAAAGTTGCGATCTGACCAGTTTGTTGCTGTTTCTGATGACATCATCATATAACTGCAGCGCGGTAGGCTTCGTTGGCAATTTATAGCATACTTATCGGTCTCGTATTCACAAACACAGATTGATTTATCAAGTACGCAAGTCGGGGAATTGAGGGGGAAGGGGGAGCAAACGGATGGGGGATTGAGGGGAAGGGGGAGCAGGCGGATGGGGCAACGAGGGGACGGAAGCGCAGGCGGATAGGGGAATCTAGGTGGAAGGGAGACCATGTGGGGGGAGGGGGTAAATCGAGGGGAAGTGGGAGAGGTAGATAGGGGAATCGAGGGGAAGGGGAGGAAGGCGCATGGGGGAATTGAGGGGAGGGGGAGCAAGCGGATGGGGGGATCAAGGGGGAGGAGGAGCTTAATTGATTATCAATCAATCAATCTATCAGCTATAGTGACAGTAACGGGGAAGGAAGAGTTAAGGGTAGGTGGAGTAGGAGTAAAGAAAAAAAGCGGGGTTAAGAGGAGGAGGAGGAGGAAGGGTAGGCATAGGTTGGTGGTGGCGGGAGGTGCACATAGGAATGAGGGGAAAAACAAAAAGAGTCAACTTCCAGCTAAGCAGTTGATAGCCTCACCAGTCCTTGCCTCCAATTGTTCTCTGTGACAAGGTAAAGGTGGGCACTGATCCTAGTCTCGCACGTGGACCAGGTTCGGGGCTTCACGGCCCCACCGCCCAGTCCTCCCATCACCTGTCACCCTTGCGACAGAAACACCCCGTCACCCACTACTTGCGCTTACAACTTATGCCTCCTCCTTTCCTCTCTCCTTATGCAGAGATGGATCTCGCTCCATTACACAACACTCTACATGAATTTGGATAATTTTTGGACCTTGTACATTCAAGACGTTAAATTCCTCGATACGCACCTAGTCAAAAAAACAAACAAATGTAGGACACACATACGCATATATTATCAATTGATCCCGATCCTGATTGACCCGGACGTCTCTCACAATATTCATATAGTCGTACGTATTCCGATCAGAGTTGTTGTGTGCGTGTATCTGAAGAAATAGACTTCGACCATTCACAACACTTACACATTTTTTCATTTCGATAAACATAAACAATACTTATTGCACACTTCGATATTTAAATCTTGAAACACAATCTACATATTTGTAACGAGCGTGAGGCTGAGGGTGAGTCGAGGGAGAGGAGAGAGAGGGAGAGAGTGAGAGCACACACACACACTCACTCACTCGACACGACGGACTCGGACTGAGGGTCGGACGCAGACACAGTGGCAAGGCACAAAGTCGAAGTCTTGGATTCCGAATGCCGAAACAGCAAGTCATACTGAGTACGAGTACAGTAGCAGAGAACTGGTACGAGACTGGTCCCCGT